CCTGTGACTAAATGCCCCAGTTGTAAACCCAGACACAATGGGCAAAGAATAGTATTCTCATTTGCTTTCTTTTTTTGCTGGACTAGAAAAGAAACGATGACTGCATAAGAAACATTAAAAAGATGCATTAAGAGGCTGCGTTCCCTCTTCACACAGCATCTCGGAAAAACACAGAAATTGAAGCAGTTCCTGTAAATACATGAATATGATTTCTGTTAACTGAAATGACTGATTACAGGTAGTAACTATAGTAACTGACCACTGAGGGGGAAATAGAGCAAAGAAACTCTACAAGCTATTGGTGAGCCAAGACAGTGTCACATGAAAACAGTGCAGACTGTTAAAATCCCTCCAACATGAGAGATTATTTACTTTTTCTTCAGAGAAGATTTACATCAACCCAGGAACCATAATAAGCCGATCCTCAGATGCTGGAACAGCTATCTGACAAACGCCAAGGAAAATATGGAACAAGTGTAGTCAGTCAATGCCATTCTCATTCTCAAGAGCGGAGCAGGAATTTAACCATTTAATCCCTTGACAAGGATTGGCTAAATAGAAAGAACAAGACTTGACAGATTAATGCCAAATCAGAAACACTCAGGGCGAGATTTGATCCCCTTTATTGATTTCCTTTTTCCTTACTTTGCTGATTGTGCGATTTGAGTTGAAACAGAGAAGAATTTCAAGGATTTAAAGCATAGAATTGCAGCTGCAGCCTGCTGATAAACGTGTTCTCCATCCTGATCCAACATGGTATCTGTCTGGTGTGAAGAAGGCAAAGGAGCAGGAGGGGACACCTAACACACACTACACAAGAAAATACAAGCAAATGAAAACACTATGTGTTACTGAAGTGCATGTTCTGACAAAACAAGCTATCTGGTAACCTTAGACAGCCGGCGTCTGGGACAAACATTACTTGTTTGATATTTGACTAAACTTCCCTAACCCCTAAAATAGCTTCATTCAGTGACGGGGGGATCAGATCCAAACAATTTCATCATCACGGAGACATGAAGAAGAGCTGTAAGCTCCTCACTCAAGGCCTTGAAACATTCATTCATTCCTTATCATGACCACAATCCTGCATTTGAAACTGCAGACAATGGGAAAAGTGAACTTAATTCAACATTCGTTCAGTTTTTAATAGTATTTGTGCAGTCTTCTGCACGCAGAGAACACTCCATTTTGTCATAACCATTCCATTATTTAGGTTCAGTGCGTACAGTCATGTTTTATTCAGTTATTATACGATATGCAGCCTTTATGCAGAGGCCAGTCTCTGGAAATGTACATCAGGAACTTACAAAGAAAACTGAGAATGTGCCTCTTGGATCAACTGCTGTGGTGTATGGAACAAAAATTAGCTAATTTAAATATTTGCCAATGACAAGAAAAATCACTTGTTTGAGAGCCGCTCCTGAAATTAATGAAGGGCCGATCCATTTCCAGAATCATAGCAGACAACAGAAACTACGCTTCACAGAGACGTTTCACACAGGGTTTGGAGAAGGATTTGCTAAAGAGCTGACAGCAGAACCACAATGAGCTAAAAATGCTCAAAGAGATGAAGTTTGAGTGGCCAAGTGCCTCCATTAGTTCCTATGGCAAAAGCGAAGCTTAATCTCCTGTCAGCTCTCCTCAAGCTAGTCTCCCAGGACTCGGAGCTCTCTCTCCCATCCATCACCTCAGCAGGGACCAAAGGGAGACTCCCCAAAGGAATGGGGATCAGAGCAATTTGCATTCACACTCTAGCCATAAAGGCCCAACAATCCCATAGCGACTCTCTCCATTTCACTATATCACAGCTGTCATCCAAATGAAATACAAAACTCCTCGGACTGGCAATTATAGTTTTCTTCAAAAGACAGAACAAATGAGAAAAGTCAAAATGCTAATTACAGTGTTCCAAAGTGGCAGCAGTTTTCCTTCCATGACCCGTCAGAGGAGACATTTTCCTGCCTGTTTCACTGCTCAACATCACACATCTATTTCAACACTATTTATGAGCATGTATGCAATTGTCCTCAGACCCCCTGACTGTTCAGTCAATCAGTCAATCCAACTGAAGTGTGTGACATTTCATACACAAAAGGCCGACTTCAATTTTTCTCAGATGAGTCTGAAAAACAAATACACACTGCAGCAGCCCAGCATGTGACCGTATGTCTTGAGTCAAAATGAACTGTCGTGTGTCGGGCTTCAGTGACAAGCTTGTGCATAGAAATCAGACAGTTAGCTGTGCAATTAACCCTAAACGGTTGAAACAATGAAACTGTCCATCAAAAATGAAACAGGAAGCGTCCCCCCATGGTTTGCACATCTCTCAGGAGACGTCACGTGAGAATCAAAACAGCAAATCAACATACTTGACAGACAGTGGAAAACAAAATAATGCAGCAGTGTTGTGATATTACTCAAGAGACATACTACTGAACATTCAAGAGAAGCTCATGTGATGTGAGAGACTGCATGAAATGACTGACAGTACTGAACAACAGGGGTCTCCAGTAGAGTGATTTTAGCTTGCATGGTGCCAAGTTATTACAAAGAGTATTATTCAAAGCTACACAATTTCCAAGCCTGAATTAATAGTACATTCAAAGTTGATGCTCGTCCACCATTCAGCATTCATTTCCCAAATGTTTAATCCAGCTAAAATGAAGAATTAGAGCTGGAAAATCTCCTTATCCCACCGCTGAGAGTGATATCTATATGGGCTGGTACAGCACCAGGACCCGATGATGGAGCCAAGCCATAAACAACCACCTGGTTGCTAACTCAATTCACACTCAATTAAATATCAGCCTGGAATACTGGAGAGACCGGGTGCTAATATAAGAAAGTGGGAACAGAGCTGCTGTTATTATTCACTGATCCATTATTCTCAATGTTCCTTTTATTTGATAATCTATTTGGCGAGCAGCTTGGAATATTTTCTGTTTATGAATTTGGCACTCTTGTGTTTTCTACAAATGGTTATTACCATGACAGGAACAAATGGTTTTCCCTGATGGATAACTGCAGCAGGGTTTGCTGCTACTTGCATTTGTTAGGGCCATCCTCACTTGTTTGTGCTTGGGTAATGAGGGAAGAGTCTGGAACATGTTGTATATCAATTAGACCATCAAAGACAGTGGGCATTTATGGCTGCACCCTTTAACCTCAGGGTGAAAGACCAAATTCTTGTTTTTGCATGTCAAAAGAAATGCTTCCAAACAACTGCTGAAATAAAAATTTTCCAGGCCCTTCCCTTCACGATGATGTCTGAAAGAGTGAATTATGGAGCCTTTTTGGTTTTGAATAAACCGCAGCAATGAAAAAAAAAAAAAAAAACAGTGAAGTGTATTTGTACCAAGGCTAATTAGGCTTAGAAAACACCTCCTGCTTTACTCAAATAAGACATTTTCCAGGAGCCTTTAAGTGCAATTTTTGAGACATTTTCCACTCCCTTGATTGAACAGCTTCAAAAGATTTCCTCCATGAATTCCAAGGGAACCAGTTAATCCTGATCTTCTCCACAAGCAAAGGGATCATCTCAATGTAAATCAGACAGGGCTTTTGATCAAAGTATTCAATCAGTGTTAAACACATGACGCCATAAGGAGCCTCGCTGCGAACAAGGTCAACATCTTAGTTGTTTCCGAGCTCAAAGCAGGTGAAAAAAGAAAAGCCCAGATGTGACTAAATATCCGACTAGAAAAGGCTTTTTTAGATTAATTACACTTAGATTTAAGGATCACCAAAGCGAGTTAACTAAAACATGTACATTCTGCAGTCTGTCAGAGAAATCGAGAATATCAGTGCCTTTCAAAACATGATCTGACATTTCTTGACCACACTTGACCCTCTTCCATTCCTCACTTAAAATAGGGGCGCCAGACGGAGTTTACCAGTCGTCCAAGATGTAAACAAACCAGTAAACTTTCAGCTAAGCCTCAAAGACCCCCTCTCACAAACACGCACAGGCGTGTATATACATGCTGTTTAGTTATTGGCTTGTTTTGTTTTCCAATTAGAAGGTTGTCAATATAACCAGAATAAAGATGCCCCTTCCGATACCAGTCAAATACACTTATTAAGCATGCCTTTAAACACTTAGGTCCTCTTTGGGAAGCTTTGATATCAGGGTGATTAATGTCAAATTATCACTCCAATTATCAACTACCAGTTTCAACACTTCATCCTCCACCCAAAGCGCACACACACACGCGCGCACACACACACACACACACACACACACACACACACACACACACACACACACACACACACACAGGTGATCTGACTTCTAAACTCTATTATGAATTCAGGACAATTTCTCAAAGTAAGAGTTGAGACAAATCCTTGAAATACAAATGTCACCATATCCTGTGTCATCCTTCCTCACAAAATATTAAATATGATTGAACATGAAACAGCAGAGGCCTGTGGTTTCCATTCATAGTGTAACAAAAAGGAGAGAGCTCTTTTAATAAGTGCTCATATAGTCATTATTTATTAGGCCATATTTAACAGACAGGAGAGCTGAGGATAACAGGCCACAGGTTTCAATTATCATTCAAGAGCACGCTGTGGCCCCGAGTTGCCATTACAATGAGGTATTGGAGAACTTGGAGAGTGCTGGCCTGCACGGTTCGCACATATCGCCATCTGCCTGCTGCTGGGGTAAGTTCATTATTTTTGCAGCCAAATAAGTATTCTGCAGCCGTTTAGATTGGGTTGGATTCTAGGGCAGGAAACACTTTCCAATTTTCTCGCACTCATTTGCACGTCTTGTTGCAAAAGGCAAAGCAGGCAATTACATCGATCCACCCATTCATGCATTAATCAAGTGTGTGGCATTGCAAAACATCATGCAACACAAACACACATACACACGCGCGCACACACACACACACATAGAGAGAGAGAGAGACACACAGAGAGAGCCAGGGGGTGATGATAAAATAAGGCAGATATGTATCTCCCTGCTGAAGTCTATTTCTGCGGCTTACCTTGGATGTGCAGCGCCAACAGGAGTATCCATATCCCCACACACATCGCCATGGCACCTCAACTATCCGGATCTTCTCTGGAAGCCCGAGAGTGGATGGATAGGGCTCACTCGAGACGACAAAGACCACGCATGCAACTTCTGCAAATCCCACTTCGGCCCCCCAACTAGTCTACCTCTCTCAATGAGCAGTAGCACACTTTCGCAAAACTAGAGGATCGGTGGTGCGCCTCGCCGTACCAAAGCATCAATTTCACGTCTGCAGCGACTCCCTGGCTGGCGGAGAGTTTGCCCTAAGTAGAACCTGGCCGGGTCCCCAAAATGAGATCCAAGCGGCTGCAGAGCTGCCGTTTAGGTGATGGGAGTCTTTTAGGAAACAGCGGGCGAGGAGAGAAAGGAGAGTTGGGTTCTTGTCAAAGCAGCTCTTCTCGTTTAACCATCTAGCCTTTGTTGCTCCATCCACCGCAGCGGCTGCAGAACTCTCTCTCTCTCCCCCTTCCAGTAGCCTATTGTGGATCAGAGGTAAAGTGGGCGGGAGGTCTTCGATCGATGCTGCGCTGGGAAGTTTCCAACACTTGGAGAGTTCCTCCGGGGAAATGTCGCCTTTTTCTTCCGTCCGCAAAACTGACACAACACCTAATCTGCTGGCACCGTCCCTGTTTTAGTTCCCTCAGTTCCCGGTTTTCCCTGTATGCAGCCACGGTCAGCCGGACAGATCAGAACACCAGGACGGTGAAGTTGTTGTAACTCTGGAAATGGTGGGATGCGCCCCCCCCCACTCTTTTTTTTTTTTAGCTCTTTTTTTTTTTTTTTGGATGCAATACTGTGTAGCTTTACCCCGCTATGCGCACCGCCCCGCTGATCTGCCACCACAGTGTGTTGCTGACTATCGCTGACGCTTTGGGAGAGATCGGGATCGGGTGACGTTGTGAGAGGGAGGAGCCTGGATTGTCCTGCAAAATGCAAAAGCATCGCCTGGAAAGACTACAGTACAACAGCCTGGTAGCCTCCTGGGAAGTGAGGAAGTGACTCACAAACTTTTACAGCACGTCAAGGGTCTTTGACACGACACGTTTGGAGCAGCAGCTGATAAAACTGTGCGCAGAGGAAAAACAGTTTCAGGAGGATAGAGATAGATCCGTCGATGAGGCAGGGTGGGGATGTGGGAAGACGACAGAAACACGACGTGCACAGTCATGCTTGAGTGAATCAACGCAATGGGGAACGCGGCTCGTATGTTGAAATTCCCCCTTGAATCCTCAGAGCCACCGAAACCTTTGGAAAGTCCTTTTCTGTTTAACGACAAAAAGGGAAATGAGAATCATAACCTTTACTGTGGTGACGTAGTTGTCAGGTAAATTAAGGACAATATATATTTTAAATGATTATTTTTTTTTATAACAAGTTTTCTCCCTCATGTAAATACTCAAAATGAATTCAATTATTATCCAGGGTCCTAAAATCACACAACAATCTTACTGGCAGCCAAACCCATAAAAAAAGAGATGCAATTATCAATTATTACATCATTAACTTCAAATTAGTTGAATAAGTGAGAAAGTATTTTTCATCAGGGATCCCCTCAATGACCCTTGCGGCACCCCAGACCTCATGTGAACCACAAATCTGACAAATAAATCAGGGTGGGGCTGTGAAAGCTTAAATGTGATCCAGATAGTCATCCTCCAATACTCTCATAGTGAGGTAAGGGTTTGTGATTTAAAAACATGAGAAGTGACACTGAAGGAAGAGTTCTTGTGTTAATATTAAAGGCAAAATGACTCACTCAAATAAAACATTTTCCTTACATCTACAACAATGTATGAGTGAGTGTGTGTGTGTGTGTGTGTGTGTACATGGGAGGGGGGAGTCTATTTTACCTCATAAGCCAGCTGTGAGAGCTGACTAACCACTACACAACCCCCCCATCTCTTTCTTTCGTTCCTCTTCACTCCCCCACCAGCTCATCCTCTTCTCTAGAAGCACAGGACACACAGGATCAGGCATTTGATGGTGCCGCCTGTAAATGAATGGGCGGATGAATGTGATAACACTTCCCTCTTGTGGACAGTAGTTCTTCAGATGCTTACAACAGACCTGGCCCTGCATGCTTGATGTTGCAGTCGATTGTGTTGTTTGGAGTTTGTTGGTTTGCATGGAGCCAAAATCATGATTTACTATCAGCAGCAAAGAATTATCTGCCGAACAGCAAGAGAAATTACCTGGCATGACAAACGAGAACTGGGCCAATTGGTTATTAGGGTCAGTGTAGTGTTTGGTGCACTGCAACATAAATCATGCTGTATAAAATGGAAACCCACATGCAACATACAATTTCCTTTCCAAGTGAAGGATGAGCGGTTAATAAACAAACCTACAACCCTGTTAAACACAGTAAAAGCGGACTTCTGCATTTGTCCTTGGTGCACACAGATAAACTCAAGCCTTGACATTTTATTTTGTCAAATACAAACTGCGAGTGGTGTTCATTAATCAGCCGTGGTTGCACTGGGCAGCTCGAGTCCAAATCTTACCTTACCGACAAAAAGCGCCCATGCTCGGCCAAACTTCCCGTGCTAGATAATAGCTAGAAAACTCTGAATTTGCCCCTTTGACTTCGGAGCATTAACTCCGATGCCCCGTTCATCGAGCGGCTGAGGTTGTGATTGATTTACAGGCGAGCTGATGAAATTTGATACACTCGTTCTGAACTGCAGCTTGTGCCAGAGCTCAAGGCGAGGCCTGAGCTGCTGTGGAGATTTAGGAACTGTCCTGCATAATGAATATTTGGAGATGCATAAGAAAAAAGTAGTGATGGCTAAATTATAGGGTAGGCCCAATAAATGTATCTGATGAAGGGTTTTCTGATTAATATATCAGTGTCAAATAAACTATGATGATGCATTTCACTGCGGAGAGAAAGTAATTGATATTTTGCTGATGACAGTTTTAGTGCAGGATTCATTTCGAAATATAAAGGCAGTGATATATCGGTGCCTGATTATTTCAGTTGAAGATACTTGCTAGAAGGTAGATGCTCTAACGTTACATTTAGACGATACCCTTCCACCTCAAATGCAAAAATATGTAATATGTTAAAAAATTTTCAAACACCCAATTATCTGTAAAAAATATATAATTTTCATTTAAAAACATTTCCCTTTATTGTTTATTGTGATCTTATTTCATTGTGTGGATTTTCTCTCATGTTTTAGAAATGACCTCCAGGCTCACACACTTCCTCTTTAAAGCTTCTTATTCACAATTTCATGAAAAACAAATGAAAAAGGGCGTCAAGTGGCGAAGTGGGTTGAGCAGGCGCCCTATATGTAGAGGCTACAGTCCTCGCTGCAGTCAGCCCCGGTTCGAATCCCGCATCGGACGGCCCTTTACTGCATGTCATTCCCCCTCTCTCTGCCTCCCCATTTCCTGTCTCTCTCTACTGTGCTATCTAATGAAGGCATAAAAAGCCCCCCCCCCCCCCAAAAAAAAAACTTTAAAAAACAAATGAAGGGAAAATCAAATTCATTACAACCCCATTAAGCTCAATAGGCCAATTCTTTAACTGTAAGCTACGTAGAAACGACCTAATTCACTTACATTATGTCATGTATCAATAACTCTGACACACCCAAATTCTATAATTACCTCGGCTGGTGATGCAAACACTGATTTACACTGCACGACATTTGTCGTACTGGTGATCTCATGTAAACTGTCACAAACTTGCAATTGTGCGCACAAGAATTATGGAAGAACTTTGGCAAAGTGCTGATGAGCGAAACAGAATCCAGGTTTTCATCCGTCCAGAATAGCATGAAATCTGCATTGGGCCTGACCCAAGTCTGTCTCCCTGGAGAGCAGACAAGTCTTTTCATCCAAAACTGTTAGTTTCCCTGGCCTGAAAAACATTTGATAGAGAAATCTGTGTCCTATAAAAAAAAAAAAAAAAACGTCTACAGTTGTCTGCAGTTTCCTCAGAACGAAAACAGATCGACAATTTTACAATTAAATTTAACAACGTCTCAACATATGGAAATCTTACATTATACTGTATGTTACCAAAACCTGCCTTCCTCAGACAAGAAGCAGACATCACACTGAGTTCAGCATCCAACATCTGGAAACAACAAACAAACATACCAACAAGGCTGTTGTTCAGCATTTAATACAGTGCAATTACATTGTACCAAACAAATTACTGGCCATTTAACTTAATGACTTGATACAGTGGCTGGTAATTGTTTTAGCAGACAGACAATGTCTTCAATTCAGCATTCTCCATAGAGACGGCTGTAGAGGCCTTATAGATGAATGATTTCCTGATTCAATTTTCTGGTTACAACATGTTGCTAAATCTCCCAACAGCTGAAAAATAGGGGCACACACGACTGTTGATAATTCGTAGATGTAAGTACTGTAATCTCAAGGCAGGAGACATAATTCATAGTGGACATACCATAATCTTTGGTGATGTGCTCCATGTTCCCAAAAACACAAACAACCAACACAGCAGAGAAGAGAAAAGCCAACACTGCGCTGTAAGAGGCAGCTAATCTCCGTCAGAGGGAACAGAAAGGTCTTATCAACCTTTTACACTGTTTACAGACAGTTTATCATCTTTTTCTTCAAATATCAATCAAAGGGACAGAAATTGGCTCTCAGCACGTTCTCCAAAATCACTGGAAGAAGAAAAGAGGAGGTCCGAAAGAGTTTTACTGTCAGTGGTGTCCTGGAAATGGATCAGGAAAAAAACAAAAATGATGACAAGCCATTCAACCTTGCCCTTCAGTAGCCCAGTGTTGGACAAATTGAAGGGAAAATACCTCTGTGACCAACGATAAAACTTTAAGTAAGATGGTTTATGAGGTTTCTAACAATGGACATTAGTAAGGCATTTTAAATATACATATATGCATTTGAGACCTGACCTCGGCCCACGTTCTGCACTTCAATAGCACAGATATGCAAATGGAAACATCTGGATCTGCTACCCCTCATGTTCATTATATTCTATATGTTCTGTTTAATGTCACTTGCATATTTAACTGAATCCCTCTTACAGTCCCTCACAGAGTAAATAGTGTTGTTGTGAACTGAACTGAGGTAAATATAGCCTCTAACAGCCCTGTGTGTTTACTAGCAGCTTGAAAATGATATTAAACAGTGAAGCTGATACTATTTAACACCTTTATAAAAGGTATCTGTGGTATCCCAAATGAATTCTTGATAAGTATAATACAAGCCAGTAAATTGTGTTCAACATGGTAGAAAAACTACATATACACACTTATCGGACTACTATTTCTCTCTAGAATCCCTTACAGGAATACACATTTATTAAATGTTCTGTATTAGCTCTTACTTTTTAAAGGCCTCCAGGGTCTAATATAAATCAACCAATGCAAACTTTAGCTTAAAACTCATCACTTCACTGTATTTAAGTCTTTAACAAAAGTGATTACTTGTAGCATGTCCCAGTTATTAGTGAACTGGTAGATTCAAATGAATGATGCTGTTGAAGCTGAGGCAGAAACATGTGCACTTATAAGTTTTATAGGGCAAGACAGGGTTGTAAGGATCAAAATAGATGCTTAATAATGAGAAAAACACACGTTATTACCCAGTCATTTTTCATTAGAATGGAAGCATATTTTGTAATAAAAGAAGAACATATCTCCTAATCATAACAAAAGACCTTGTTACTGCGACAAAACCTGGTGATTTTTCTTTGTCAAGCCAAATGCAATATGCTTCTATAATTCAGGGCTGTTTTTGTTTCATTTTAAAACCAG